CAGCTGGTACTTGTCGGGCTTGCTCACGTGCAGGATCTCCACGTTGCTGCTCTCCATGCCCACCGCCAGCCACTCGCCCGTGGGGCAGTAGCCCAGGGAGAAGATCTGCAGGAGCCGGCTGAGCGGGGGCACCGCGCGGCACCGCGCGGCCCCGCGCGGCCCCGCGCGGCCCCGTCCCGCGGCTACCTGCGAGCTGAAGTCGTGCTGCTGCAGCTGCCGCCCTTCGCGCAGGTCCCAGCACCGCACCGTGTTGTCCAGGCCGCCCGTCCACAGCTTCGTGCCGTCGTTGGAGATGTCGATGCAGCTGGCGCCGTCCGTGTGGCCCTGGAACTGCCTGGGAGAGAGGGGCCGAGCGGAGGAGCAGGCGGCTGCCAGGGCTGCAGAGCCCGGCTGCACCCCGGAGCACCGGCATCGCCGCTGCACCCGCGGCCGGGCACGAGGGGCCACTCGCACGTGCCCGGACTCACCTCACCAGGCTCTGGTTGTGCAGGTCCCACACGACGATGTTGCCGTCGCTGCAGCACGAGAAGCAGACCTTGGCGTCGGGGCTGATGGCCAGCGCGTAGCAGGCGGGCGCCGAGGACGTGAGCTCGGCCTTGATGCGCGGCGTGGGCGCCGCCAGGTCCCAGATGGACAGCGTGCTGGCCTCGCCGCCCACGATGAGGCTGCGCCCGTCCGGGAGCAGCTTGCACGAGCGGATGTAGTTGTCCCGGTTCTGGGCACGGGATCGGGAGCGCGGTGCAGGMGGGAAGTGGAGAAGGAGCCGATGGGCACCCAGGGCACGGGAGAGCACCCACTGCCCTCCCCACAGAGGGGAGAGGAGCCTCTCGCCCCGCGCAGGGCATGCAGCCCGKTCCTGCTCCCCAGGGAAGCCTCACCAGGCAGTCGAGCTGCGCCACGGCCGTCTTGGGGCCCGGCTGCCCCACGTCCCACACCTTCACGCAGCCCTTGCCGCCCGTGTAGACGTGGCGCGTGGAGTTGCTGATGGTGACGGCGCACACCACCTCGCCGTGCGGCAGCGTGTGGAGCTGCCGCGCGTGCCGCGGGATGCCCGAGCCCAGCAGCGCGTCGGGCGGGAAGGGCACGGGCTGCATCTGCCCGTCGGCGCTCACGTGGAAGGAGTAGGCGCTGCAGGCGGGGGGCAGAGCGGTGAGGGGGAGCCAGGGTCCGCACGGCACCAGGGGGCTCCGGCGGCYGCCCCACTTACGGCTTCCCCGACGACCCCACGTGCACGCCGGCCGCCAGCCCCGGGATGCGCATGTGCGGGTGCGGGTCGTAGCCGACCTGCGGGGACATGGAGAGCTGGGGTCCCCGCTGGCCCCGGGGGTCCCTCCTGCCCCCGCGTCACTCACCAGCGGCGAGCGCCCGTAGCCGCCGGCGCCCGCGGCGCCGTTCAGCTGGGGGGACACGAGGTGCAGGCCGGCGTAGGCGGCGCTGCCGGCCGCGTCGCCGTTGAGCGCGCC